TTAAAAATCATTGTCACATTTGTAGTAATCAGTTGGTTGGTTGGCTGGCATGTGGTAAACTATGTTATAAAAGTTAGTTACAATAAACAGTAAGAAGAAGCGTGTACATATTTGTGTGCTTGAAAACGTATAAAATTATATACAAATCATGAATTGAAGAAATATGATTTTCAATTAAACAAAAGAAAAAAATATATATTTTATCACTACACACTTGAAAATCGAAATAGAAATTTAATATTAATTGTAACTATTTTTAAATATCTTGAAGGTGTGGGATTGCCTGGTATGTCTAAACGACGACTTTAACGATCTTTTCTTACAAATTTAAGCTGCATTTCTTTGTCTGCGAAATTTTCTTTTTTTATTCCAATGGAATTCCTAATATTTTCTTAAAGCACTCATTTGTAATGGTTACAACACCTATGGAGAAGGATGAGCAAAGTTTTGCAAAATTTTTTTGTTGAGAGAAAAAGGAACTATAGATTCGCTATAGCTGTAATGCTCAAATGAATAAAAGAAATAAAATAACTTAAAATCGCAACAACAATTACATACAGGGCGGTTGGTGAGAGAGAGCAGGCACGGGGCGGGGGGGGGCGAAAGTGTAGTGGAGTAAGACAGAATATGCTTCCATTGTATTTCTTTATTCTACATTGATTGTCTGGTCGCCGCCACTCTCGCAGCTATTCTCATAGCAGCAGCAATAAGAACAACAATAATCACTACGAAGGCGGCGGCAGTCATACAGAACAGAATAAACCGAACATATAAATTGACGAGCCACATAGCAAAGAGGAGGCAAGCAAGCAGTAATCATCCATCCATCTATCCAACACACAATGTACGGAGTTAGTTAAGCAAGTCACTGTACGTGAGTACGAGTACTGTCAAGTACTGTTTATATATATATATATATATGTATATATATACATATGTACATATATATATATATATGTAGCGAACCAACTAACCAACCAGACAGCCAACAGATTTACAAACCTTTGGCTTTTACTAAACGACGACATTGAATAACACTCATTTGATCTCCAACAGCCGGTCTGAACGGTTCGCTTAAAACTGTGTGCTCTGCGATAATCAAGGGCAACATTTTTGGTAATGCAAACATTTATATACATATGCTTGTCAGTGCGTCTGTGTAATATGTGAG